CGCTCTAGCAACAAATCGAGGTGGATGGAAGAAGAATGTCACTGACTCGTGTGCCTTATGACGAGGAAAAACTGAGTATAGGCATAGGTTACTAGGTTGAAAAGTACACGTATTACATCTCATGACAAGTTAGAAGCACTGTCTAATTGTTTCCTTCACTGCTTGCCTCACTTCGCTTATCTTCCAACAATAAAGAATTGGGTTTAGAGATGAGTTGAGAAAAACCAGTATTCCAGAAATATTCCAAGCAATAGCATTACATGGAGATAATGCACTAACAATTGTTGCAATAGTATATGGCAGATAACACAATAATAATGTGAGATATATCCACAATGCACTGCCAACTGTCTTTTTATATCGCGCCATGTTCAAGGACGCACCAGGATTGATGTGGGAACCGTGCACTTGAACTTGTTGACGGCGAAGAGAAAAGTAAATTTTCAAGTAGCAACAGGATGAGATGCTTAATAATAGCAGAAGCATTACGCAAGATCCCATAAAGAACAACCGCTTGCTCCATATATAAGTCATGGCAAATGCAATGTTGTTAACCCACGAAATTGTCACGAACAGACGAACGCGATTGAAAGTAACAGTCTGTCTGTATCTTAACCCTAACACCAAAGAGAGAAGTCTGTTCACACTTATCGCAGTTAGCGTACTGATGGATTCCCCACACAATATTGAACCTGAAATAAATGCTAAACTTTAAGTTAACTCGCAATTGTTCCAGCTCTTGTTGACCATCGCACTAAGGTAAGTTACAAATATGGGTTGCGAGAGAAGTCCAGCAATGAGATCCGTGCATGATAGACAACGAAACAGAAGTTTCGACGATGAATGAAGAGATGAAACTTGCTGAAGAGCGATGAGAGTCAGTATTTGCAAACAAATATCTCCCCATATCCATGCAGTTGAAGTTTAGTTTTCCTATTAAATGAATCTGACGCACTCTGTTTTTGCGGGTTGATTTATGGTCACATAGCAATCGCTAAATCTAATTGTTGTCCGCTAGGCAACAATTGAACATTGTTGCCCACTCTTATTTATTTATTTATTTATTTATTTATTTATTTATTATTTATCTATCTTTTTATTTTATTTATATCTTAGTTGCCATAATTAAGAGATACAAAGAAATTTCAATTATTAGCGTGCCTCTTTTCCCTTTAGAAGTCATTCAAATCCACCTCAAATCCAAATCAGTACAATTAAAATACAAAAACAATTGAGATAATTAAACTTTAAGTTGCGATAAGAAGCCGCCATTAAGAATTATCGTTGAGAGCCCCCGGTAGTTATTTAATGATGCATTTTTATCTTTGACGTCACTACGTAGACAACTAGCCTCATCGTGGTTAATTAAAAAGAGTGTTTTATCATGACGGTAAATTGATGCCATAATTGAACAATAAGACGCACTAACGAATTTTTTATCCTTCGCCGACACAAAGCGCAATGCGGCATGCTTGGCTAAGACAAAAAGCCGTTGATTTACCACTTTTCACAATTTATCCGTGAACAATAACGCAAAGGGGTGGCTCGGACAAAACGGGGTTGGGCGAGTGCCGCACCCATGCACATTCTCGTCCCAATCACTTCTGGTCTGAAATGCCCCGCTTCACAATCCCTGCCTGATTTCGAGAGAAACACACTGCTAGTAGACTAATTGAAAACCCTGAATAGTGCAGTTCGTCAACATGGTAGCATTCATCTGCGCATGCACAACCCGGAATTTTTGACATCGACGTCAGCTTGGGCTAGGTGTAAAGCCGTCATTACTGATTCAGTTCAGAAGTCGTTTATAGGGAAAATATAATCAGAAACCTCAAAAGCCAGTTATCTGTCATCCTTATATAATGGTCTAGTTTCGTTTGAAGTTACTATATAATTGCTATTGCTGAAGATATGAAGGGTTGTTATAATTAGTTGCAGATGCACAAAGTTGTGATGTCACCATTTCGTGGCGTGTTGGAAAAATGGGTAAACGTTACTTGCTCTAGGTCCCTTCAACAATTCACTTAATATCTTTATCTCCCGGTGTTCTGGGAAAATTTCGTATACGAACAACGGTCAGCTTAGTCACAACCTGTTTTTTGTTGTTTTTTTTTACAAAAATATGCAGTAAAACCGCTTTTATAGGGTCCCCCGTTTTAAACTAAAGAAACTACAAAGACCGTCAAGACTGCTATTATGCTTAGACCAGCTAGGGCCGTAGCTAGTAACAGGGCAAGCCGATGCGATTCCCTCAGTCCACATTTGTATTTGTTTTTGTTGTTTTTAGTCATCATAAACTCCCTGAATACGTAGGAGGAGAATTTAACCAGGAACATTGCCTCAGTTATTAGTTTTTTTTCTGCCTACGGCCCTGAAGACTGATTACAAGCAATTATTTCTCTGCGTATTCTTTATAGGAGAAAATTGAACGAATATTATTTAAAGGAGCTCAGTCACGGTATTTTGAGTTATTTTGGCCACATACAAAATTACCTTTAAATGGTAGGAAACCTGAAAATAACAGTTTAATAAGATAGAAAAACACCAAAGAGATAATGATAAACCATAAAGGAACAAGGATGGCTAAGGATGGAAAAGATTGACACGGATTACAAACGACGAATTTGAAACATTGAGGCTAAACTTTTCAATATGCGCAAACCGTGACTGAGCCCCTTTAAGTACGAATCATCTCACTGAGGGAACACTGGATTCAGTTTATTCAGTTCTCTTTACTTCGGCTTTGCAATGAGTGGTTTTCAAACGCGAGTTTTTGGTGCAGTGTTTGCACTTCTCTAGGTAAAGAAAGACTCTTATGTCGATACTTCATTTCGGAAATATAATTTTCAATACTTGGTTAAGCGAAATTATTGAAAATGACCCGCTAATCGCCTTTTCTAACTAAGGAGAGTGCTTTCGTATCCATTACATTAAAAGACTTTCATCATACCTGGTGTCTAAAAATATTCTTTAAAGTCTCCGTTACAGTTTCTCTTATTTTGGGGATTCGCCAGCAGTAAATAATTGGGTTGAGAAATGAGTTGTAATAAGCCAAAGTTATAGTCCACAGTTCGACGTGTAAGAGATACGAATTGTTCTAAACGACAGAATTGACAGCCTTGTTCACTGAAAACGGGAAGAAACACAGTATTAATGCACAGTGAACCCAGAGAACACTCGTCACTGTTTTTTTAAATCTACGCATATTTAGAGGCGAGTTCGTCCCCTGGTTTGTTTGCTGATGAAGCTCATCTTGTATTCTGCATTGTCGCCTCAGCGTCACGAACATTTTTAAGTAACAAAATGTTGATATTATCCCAGAAAGAAAGACAAAAACAAAACTTAGGGCGAAAAACAACTTTTCTTTCCACAAGGAAGTCGATGCTGCTGTAATGGCTAATACAAAAACAAGTACAATAAGTTTACGGACTCTTGAGAGGGTTACGACTCACAGTTCTGTATCTTAGTCGTAACAACAAAGCAAGGAGTCTATCAATAGTTGTTGCCGTCAATATGCACAAAGACAGTCCAATCAACGCTGCACCAGCCACATGCTCAAAAGCTTCCATAATACAAGCGAGTTTCCACCGCCTTTTCAGCAGCGATAAGAGGTAGACTACGAAGACAGGCTGCGAAACAAGGCCAACAAATAGATCGCTGAGCGCCAGACAGCGAAACAATAATCTAGACGGTGGGTGAAGCGAACACTCCTTTCTTAGCGCCACAAGGATCAAGATATTGCCAATAGATGTAGCAATGGAGAGAGGAATATTTCCAGCCGAAAGTGCGACCAACGTCAACTTGAAGTTTGCATTGCTCGTCATCATCTCGTAGACTCTTAAGCATCTGGTCTTCGTATTTTCGAGTTGTGATTGCTCGTTTCTCTCCATACTGGTGAAGTTTTTCATCAATGATTGTCAGTTTGTAGCAGAGGATTGAACGTGAGAAAAATAGTAGTTCTTAGAACCCCTTGCTCTTACTTTGACTATACGGATTTGCCACTTATAAAAATCTTCCCCCGCGGTTTTTATCTTTCAAACAAAACTGAGTAGCAGATGTTTATTAAAAATGTATGCTGTATGTTACCAGTTTTAAGTTTTCGACGATAAACAATCTTCTCCTGAGCAGCAAACAATTAACCCTTGTTCAGTTGTTTTCGGTCGCTTTCCCGTTCAAAAATTCTTTTCAGTTTATAGGCCAGAGAATTCCATAATGATCACACCGAACGCCCTCTTACAGGCTAAATAAAGGTGTAGCTGTTCACATAAGTTAGAAAGTCTCACTGACGATAACATGAAAGAAGTCATTTATTTGAGGGGTCATAATCAGTTCCAACATCGATCTCGTCGCCGCCAGAGCAATTAGAAATTTTATTTCAGAAACAAAACTCCTGAGTCCCATTGGTTTACATTCGCAATCTCGTGCTCATTTCCAGGAGACATTAAATGTTTTGTCCTCTGCATGTGATTAAAATTAAACTTTGTTATCGTTCTCTTTGTAGATATTGGTCGACGTGATGTGATATCTAATCATGATTTTCCAAAATGAATGTTTTCAAACAATAATAGCTTCTGCCCAATGATGCGTCTGTTATAATAAAGCCGAGCACATGCAAATTTAGCAATTTTTTATATTAGACAGCGAAAAAAACTGAAGTATTTGCGTAGAAAATTAATAGCTCAGTTTTTACAAGAAATGAAGAGTTCCGTCAACTATCCGGCTGGCGTCAACGCCGAGGCGTTCGGCACGATTTTTACTTCATGCAAAACAGCTTTTCTTATCGTCTTGTCTACGCCTTTCTTCTATCACAGTCTACCGTACCTGTCTGTTCATCTCTTTCTAACTTTTCTCAACAAACTTCCTAAAAATCCATTTCAGAATTGTTTACCTCGGTTTAATAACGAGGCCAGGCGCAATACTTATCATATGAAAATGACTTTCACTGGACTGAAAATGAGGTTAATTAATTAAACCTGAACAAGGGGACATCTGCGTAAACGTTTGCATGAAATTCGGTCGGTTTCAAAGATGTTATGATTCTCCGACACAGGATATTATTGGTGTTTGTCAGTCAGTTTGCCTCTAAAGTGATACCTCCCTTTGGATGTCAACTTTTCCTTAAGGAGGATTATATTTTAACACGCATAGAGTTATACGTTTTAGCACTATTCTCCATTAATATTTCGTTAAAGGTTTCATGCAAACGAACAACGCTACTATACCTGTGTAGTGACTTCGATTTTTGCAACGAATTTTAACGTATCAATGAGGTCAATGAGGAAAGGAAATGGCAGGCTCGTACCCAGTCGCTATCAATGCAACCTAATCCTTATGAACGCTCAAAGACGCTTGTTTAACTGTGTCGAAGACCCTGGGGACGAGATTATTATCCATGTGTTTTCCTTCGTATCGAATCCTCTCCCATCTCCCCCACCCTCCAAAAAATCGGAAATGGCGACTTTCAACCAACGACGGAGTGTAAGGAAAGGGGAAGGAGAATTTAGAGGATTTAAAACAAGTAGCTAAAATTAGTTAGATTTTAAATATTAAGTTTATGATTAATAGATGGAGTGGTATCTATAAAGTGCTTGCGTGTGGTAGTCCAGTAATGCTCCCTTTCTACAATAGCGTTCTTCTCACGCTTATGTCAAAATTTTCTTTTTTACAATCCCAAATACACTGATAACATTTTATGACGGAAATCTGGCATTGGCCGGGTGAATGCACCATGCGAATGAATTGCTATGCCCGATTCTAGCCGTGTTCTTAGACTAGGAATTAGTTTTTGCTGAGTACTGATTGTACGTGTTTAATCTTTTCTCATTAAGGTTCTGCCTCCTTTTATATTCTATTCTTAGCGAGTTTCATTTTATCTGAAAGTTAAACTTAACATACAGTTGTTGACAATAAAATTTTGATTAAAATAAATTCATAGACCTTAAGAGTTTCTGTGTTAGAAAATAGAACACGCTTATTTATACAAGCCTCTTGTAAGTCTTTTAATATCAGTATAACTGAAATGATTCTGAGATATCTAATTAGAGTACGGTGTATCTCGCGTGTATATAAGAGCCTTAGTTAATGCCGGCGCTCTTTCGGTTAGTCAAAAGATCGCGTGACCGGATAAGCGAGCTTGAAATAAACTTGATATTGAGGACAGTAATCTAATGAAATAAGAGCCCGTATAACCCTGCAGGCAACTGTTAACGATCGTATAAAGTCAAGTTCTGAGACACCGTGAATTATATCGTTTGACACCGAGCGCAATTAACAACTATAAGTTGTTTTCCCGCGGAGACTTGTTTGTATTATTTTGGTTCGATATTTCCGTAGTAATACGATATTTGCTGATATTATGCAGGTGAAAGCTCGTATAACTAACGTTAACAAATATCGTGTCTGAATTAATCGTCAAAATCGGAAAATAAATTTAACTGCTCACGAAAGTGGTACCTCAGCTGAGAAGTGTCTTGGAAAACATAACTTGATGTGTGTAACGCAAGAAAGTTAAATTTTGAGAACATTAATAAGGGTGCTCCATTGCTATGTCCACTAAATCTTAAACCTCACGTGCTCAGCAGCCGGTCTCACATATGATTTCTGCTATCTTCATTTATTTCATAATATTCATTGTCATCTAGCTGCCATCTTTTTGCTGATTACCCAGGTTGATAACTTGGGAAACATCCACGATATCTCATGACAGGCAAACATCATTGCACGTTATTTCACGAATAACAAATCTTGTTCAAGGAGATAACCAGACAAAATTTTCTGAAATATGTTCCATTTTTTTTATATAACTGAATACCCATATGCGTAAGGCCTTCATTGTCGACTTTTGAAACGAATTCCACTGAAACAATCTATTATTCATTTACTTAGCCTCCTAACACAGATTTTCTAGTGTCTCCTTAATCTTGTATCTCACTTCCTTTATTCTCCAGCAATAAAGCGCAGGGTTCAGCGTGGAATTGAGGTAAATCAGCGTCGCCAGAAATGCTTCAACCGTCAGCAGAGCGGGCGTAACCACAGCAAATGTAGTGACAGTTTTAACAGCAGTGTACGGTAGATAGCATGCGATCAAAGTAAAGTGAATCAATAGCGCCGTGAAAACTGACTTCCTGTATCGTGTCACGTTTACTGGCGACGAACTCTTATTAGGTTGGTGACCATCATTATGGTGCACTCTTTCCTGTTGTCGACGGAGGGTGAGGAATATCTTCGTGTAGCAAAACGTTGATGTTGCTAAACAGGAAGCTATCGATATGCAGCTGATTCCGAAGAAAAGTCGAATGTTCCAAACGAAAGACACGCCAGTGCAAACACTCGAAATCCAAATGGTGACTATTAAAACACGAGCCCTTGCCAATGTGGCAACTTGCCTGTATCCCATCCCCTTGAAAAGCACGAGGAGTCTGTCCACACTTATAGCAGTGACCGTCAAAAGGGTCACACCACAAAGAGAGACGGTAGAAATGTAGCCAAACTTTTCGGTGTATCGACAAAGATCCAAGCGCCTTTGAGATATAGACATCAAGTGAAAGATGAACAGGGGCTGGGAAATAAGACCAACACACAAATCGGTACACGCCAAGTTACCAAACAGAAGTTTGGTTGGAGGTTGAATGGAGGTTGCCTTTCGGAGGGCGATGAAAATAGCAATGTTTGCCAGAAATGCAGCCACGGCAAGAGGAATATTCATTAACGAAATCGCTAAACCTGAACGGGCAGCGAATTCTGCACTCTGGATAACCTTTTGAACACGAGGACACGTGGATTCCTGAATAAAATCTAGACGAACACCAGATTTTAGAGTGAAGTTCATTCTTGAGTTCGATGTGACTATCGACGGTCTTGCTCTTCAGTCTGCTCCTTCAGGTCAGAGATCTTGTGTAATAAACTGAATTTTCATTGTATTCTAACTATATAGTTGGGTTTATATTGGTCTGACCTCTTCATACTATCATACTCGAAGACCAATATTTCTCAGAGTGCTTTTTATGGTCGTCATAGAAATGAAACGTGTCATTTATAAAAGTTGCCCTTAGGACTGATTTAGTGCCAAAGGATGAAGCATTTTAATTTGCTGAACGCCGAGCCTTGAGGACTCGGATGCAGTCAGCTAACCCTTTAAAATATTATATCTATCAAATAGGCGTTTGACTGAAAAAAAAATTTCAGTTACGGTAAAAGACGTCTTGTCATTTCTAATCCTTGTCTTTAATTTTTACAACCTGCGGCTCATTGAGTGTCTGAACGATTTTTATGACATCAAGCAGAGCCCATCTACCTGAATCTTAAATTTCCAGGCTCTGAACATAATCGAAAAATAAATAAAGTATTCTACGTCGTGTGCGTCTGTCGCTTCTATGGGTGTGATCTGACTTCATTTTTAATTTACTTCAATATATTTTCTCAAGCGTACCGTGCAACTAGATAGCCTGACACCTTGAATAATCTAGAATCCTCCACGCCTTTCCTATTATTATTTTTGATTTCCCTTTCTCCCTTTATGGTAGTGATCGGAAAATGCATCAGTGGTAGATGATACAGGATTATTCCCGATAGGTCATCAAGTGTTGGGAATAATTTACTAATGGTTTATATTTGAACACCTCTTGTCCTCTAAAATATCAAAAAAGACGTTTGGTTGCTTTTTTATTCCTTCATTAACACTTACATAACGACATTTCATAAAATATAACCGGAACTGGGGTCACAAGACATCAGCGGTCGTTTTAAAATACCCTTTTATAATGATATAGCCTCGAACATCTAATTTTCAAAAACTAATTACATCATCCCTACAATGGGAAAGTGTTATTTTTACTTGTTTATAAGGTCTCGTACGAAGAACATCACATTACTTACATACACTACACAACACTTTCATCTGTTAATGAAATTTACAGAAGGTTGAAGTCAATTACAAAATCAGGTTTCATTTTTCTTTCTGATTTTTGTTGGAGGGAGGTGGGGTGAACCTTTATTTTTGAGGCTAAAAAGCTACCTTCAGCCTCTTCAGTCAGTTTGTTTCCTTTAAAAAAAATTAGCAAGAGGTTTTCTGCAATATCTTTTTCACCGCCTGTCTGATTTCTCTAATTTTCCAGCAATAGAGAATCGGATTCAGTAAAGAGTTGAGGTAACACAGCGTCGCTTTAGCCATGTCCAAAATCAATAAAAGAGGTGTCCTTTCAACTGAGAGGAAATTGTTACAACTAAGAATTATGACTAGAGGAAGAAAACAGACGAACAAAGTAAAGTGAATCCAAAGCGCCGTGGAAAGTGTCTTTTTGCATCGCATTATGTTTAGCGAAGCGCTTTTGGTATTATTTGCTTGATAAGCGTAACCTCGCATGTTTGCTTGATGACTAGCGAGAGAGAGCAAGATTTTTCCGTAGCAGGACGTGGATACCGCCAAACATAAAAATATTGAAATGGCGCTAACTAAATAGAAAATGTCGATGTTCCACACAAACGTGAAGCTGGTGCAAACGCTCTCAATCAGATCCAGAACAGCAGCAAAATATGATGGACGCGCTTCACAGTAACAATTTGTCTGTATCGCATCCTTTTCAATAGGGCAAGTAGTCTGTCCACACTTATGGCAGTGACTGTCAAAAGAGATACACCACACAAAATGAATGTAGCCATATAGCTAAACATCTCGGTCAATCGACAAATCTCCCAGCGTTTGTAAGCTATGGACATGAAATATAGAATGCAGAGAGGTTGTACGATGATACCAATACCAAGGTCTGTGGACACCAGGTTGAACACCAGAAGTTTTAAAGGCGGATGAAGAGTGCGTTCCTTTTTGAGAGCAATTAAGATAGCTGAATTTCCCAACAAGATGGCAATCGAGAGAGGAATGTAAAGTGAAGAGATTGCTAAGGCTGCGTTTTTCTGTGTTTGGCTGCTTTGTCTGCGATCGCATAGGGTTTGTTGAATGAAATCGTGAAGGACAGAACTTTCCTCCGATAAATTCTATTTCTTTGTTGAAGGTGGTGCAGGTGGTGGGTTGATGAAAGTCTGCCCACACTTCATCCAGCCTTACTAGTTAATCAATATTCCCGTGAACTTAATAAAGGGTTTATCTACAAACCCAAACAACGCAAAATTCACTGAGTCAACATGCGGTTCGCGTCAAAGATCTTTTACAATAGTTTGCAAGACGATATACCTTAGCCTTCTCGTAACAGCGATTGTTAATTCTCACAGTATTTCCAAATGCCAGCACATTTATTTTAAGGATTTTAGCCAACAAGGAAACTTGCAGAAGATACCGAGCCAATATCAGTGAAATAGAATTGAAGACGGAATTTAATAATACGTAAAGCAATAGGAGCTGTCATTTAACCTGACTTCAAAACGAAACCACCCCCTCGCATCCATCAAATAATTTCGGAGTTAAGGTGAACACCGCCAAATGTTTCTCCAACAGATTAACTCTTTTGATTGCTTGTATCACTGGTTTAACTCCAAACGTTCGTAAATGGTTGAGATGAGAGTCTTTTCCACGGTTAATTTTGGATACCATCTTTTCACTTATTTAAGTAAGGTATGTTAATCAACATAGCGTGATGGGTTATCCAAAAACAAATCATCAGGGAAGTCACTGACAAGATGCCAGCAAGATGCCAGCATTCTCAAGAAAGTTTGCACTGACTTTGTCACACATCAGTCCTTCCTGTACTACAAGACTAACTCAGTTTTTAAGTAAATGGTAAGTTAAGTTTTAAGCAGATGGTAAGTTAACCAGATTTTGCACAGGTATCTAGTTTGCTCACTAGTTGATCAACGATTTCAGTCAAAATTACACAGTGGAGCAAGGATAGTGCAGTAGAGAGAGCGGTCTCCTCCCACCATTGTGGGCTGGGTTCAAATTCTCGATCCAACGCCACAAGTACATTGACTTTGTTCTTGGCTCTTCCTTGCTTGGAGGGTCTTTCTCCGTGTTCTCCGGTTTTCCTCACTCCACAGCACTTAAAATTCAAATTTCATCCCAATGCACGAGTTCGTGAACTCTTCTGTGTTTAGTGAGTACATAAATAACGGGCGCCCTCCATTCGATAAAATATTCCGAATATTGAAATATTGCCGAAAATTTCCCGTGACCAATAGAACAGCATTCTCCGGAATTTTCCAGAGAAGAGGACAACCTTGCGCGAGGAATACCGAGATTTCTTACCAGGAATTTCCGTTGCGTTTGATTTTCCTGGCGGAATTTTCGGTTTATTTCGACAATTTTCGGATTTTCTAGAAACTTTCTCAGCAACTTTTCGTACCATTTCAGGTCCCCGTTTCGAAATTTTGCGGAATTTTTGGTAGAATGGAAAGCGCCCGACGTTCACATTCGTTTTATCATCAGCAACTACTTGCAGTTGTGAGTGGAAAATGTCAAAAAAGTATCAGCTTAGGTGGGCGCGTGACACTGATTTAAGGAGATATAACTCTGTATCTCTCGTTTCTCAATCCTGAAAACACAAGTGATAGCAACGATAACAACGCCTGTCCAAGATTAAAAAACTTGGCGTTTTAGAAAAGCTTAAATATTAGTGTTGTCATCTTAAGGGCTAAAAATAGTAGCGTATAGAAAAGGACTTGTTTGCTGAAGTCAGCTATGGAACACTGAACAAATACTTACTTTCTCAAGTTGTCAAACTGTCCCCATCGAGAATAACCTTGACGTACAAATAATACCTGTGACACACACACGAGCGGCTCGGATTGTTACAAATTGCTACAAGTTACTATAATTTACCACTAAACGCGATAACAGTTATTACGGCTGAACGGTATAAATTGTGATTATCCAGCCTGGCTGGTAGTGAAAATAGTAGTTGTCTCTCTTTCTTTCAACCATTTGTTATTGCAGCACACAGGAATGCAGGTGTATAAGTAAATGTCGAACCTTCTTGGGCTAAATAAATTTCAATATTTAGAGAGGAAGCCATATGAGCTTTAGCTGGTTTTCATGCGGGTCTTCTATCCTGGTCGAGTTAGAATTTGGAAAAAGTGGTTGTCGTGGAAGGAGGAAAACCGGAGAACATGGAGAAAATCCCTCGGGGCAAGGCGAGAACCAACAACAAACTCAACCTACATATGGCACCTGGTCAGAATTAAACCCGGGCCCGTACATTGGTGTGGAGGCGAGCGCTCTCACCACTGCGCCATCCCTGCTCCCCATCAGGTGTCAGTTATCAGGTGCTTACACTACACGCTTTAGAGTTGGAATCAAGGAATCCCCTGCCATTCCCCCGGTCGAGCATTGCACTATTTGCTAATCTGACTTCAGACCTGGGAATCAGGTTGATCTTGAAGAGGCGCTGTCCTGAATCTCTTAGGTTAGCCGCTGCTGACTTATTGTTCCCCACATTAAAAAAATTCCACTCAGTTGATTACAAATAACGCGCGATATCTGTATGGTTGGATATTTTGCCCAGGTACATATCTATTATCCCTGGAAATCGCAAGTGCACTCATGGTTCTCGTTCTTTGTTTTGCGATCTAAATCATTTGGTTTCTTAATAGTATTTCTTTCTATTTTTGGTCCAAATATTCGGTGTTAGAACTTTAACTATTCGTAACGGAACTGAATAATTTGCTCGCAGATGTTTTTATCTGTCTACATGTAGCTTTCCACAAGTAATATTGTTTTCGTAATTTTCAAAGATTACTCAAGGTATATCCTTTACTCAGTAAGACTGGCGTTTAACGCCAAAAACATTATTCTTAACTAGTGTACGTACGACCTGCCAACCTGAGACATCTTGAAACAGTCAGCTAATGTTCCTAGCAATGTTTCCTCGTCAGTCGATCAGTAAATGATCGAAATAAATTGACATGACGCTCGCATTATGCACAGGAATAAGCTCCAGCCAAAATTAATTTTCAGTTCTTAGATAATTGAATTTATAATCCAATAACATACAAAGAAACTGTGTTTGAAATGTAGTTTTATTCTCCGCTTTCGGCTTTTGCATGCCTGACCAGAGATGCCTATCTCTGGGAACCCAGAGAAGACAAATCCTAAGTTCATGCCAGTTGTATCATTGTTGTGGGCAAAAAGCTTGTCGGACGACCTTCTTTACTTCGTGTCTGATTTCTTTTATTTTCCAGCAGTAAAAAATCGGATTTAAAGACGAATTAAGATACACCACGGACGCCACAACGGCTTCTGAGACTAACAACCTCCTTCCCACTATGGCCACCGTAACTCTTACTACAGCGTAAGGAAGATAACATGAAATAAGAACAAGATGGAACACCAAGGCACTGGATACAGTCCTCTTGTATGTGGTACCGGTTTGGGAATTATTTTGATTCTTCGGCTGCCCTTGATCGGACAGGGAGACGGCTTGTACATAAACCGGTGTCCTCTGCTGACGAAGTGTGAAAAAAATTTTCAGGTAACAAAATGTTGGAGTCACCACGCTCAGTAATGTTAACGCACAACTTAAACTGAGGTAGACAAGCCTGTCTCCAAATACCAACATGCTGACTGCAATGCTCTGGAACCAAAAGAAGACGACGGCCAGACCAACACGCTTGAGAGTTACAACTTGTCTGTACCTCATCTTCAACAGCAAGGCGAAAAGTCGGTCCACGCTTATTGCGGTCATTGTAGCCAATGACACTCCACAGAGGATCGTGGTTGCAATATACGATAGAGATGCGGCGATATAACAAACGTCCAAACGCCTGGCGACTAACGATAGTTGGTAAAGGACAAACGTCGGCTGTGCAATGACGCCGACGCAGAGATCTGTGGCAGCGAGACATCGAAACAAGAGCTTCGAGGGCGGATGGAGGGAAGATTCCTTGTGGAAAGCAATAAAAATGAGAATATTGCCTAAAGCAGCAGTGATCGAAAAAATGATATTGCAGGCGGAAACGACGACTCTTGCCATTAGCACGACGGAGTGTGACGTTTCGTTGGTCTGATCCTCCATGGCCGGGAAACAGAAGTCTCCAGCAAGGATCTGACTTGTATTATCCATAGTAAAATTTACTTCAGGTAATTTATCCGAAAATAAACAGTACAGTTCTATTCTTCGTTCCAAGTGTAACTGGCCGAGACAAACAAACAAAAAGTACATGCCACTTTATCTAGTTTGCCAAGGAAGTTTCAATCTGATGTAGACTTAACGTTTGACAGGGGCGTCTCTTAGCGAAGGAAAGTTTCTTTGTTTATAGTAAACAAGAAGGAAAGAAGTCATGGCACTTAATTAAATATTGTCATTCGAATCAACACTTTTTTCATGACAAGAAAAACAGAAACAAATCATCCATTTGGTTAAGGCAATAGCGTTGTTATTTCTAAGGGCCAAAACAATGGTGCTTATTCCATTGCGTCAAGTAATCATTAGCAACCCGACAAAACTCGACAAAACAAAACGTTGTTACCGCAGTAGATACAGCTAACAATCTTTATTCCTGATGACACTGTTAAGAATTCTCGAAAAGCAACTTATCAATAAAGTTAAGAAATCTGGCTAATCTATTATATCGCGAATTTCGCACGCTCTTACAGTGTTACATGACTCCAAAATGGACGTTCATAGCGCTTGTATTGGCCGGCTAGCAATTGTTACTCATTTTTTCTTCCTTTTTAACCCCACCATTTGTTGCATTTCATATTGAATTGTAAATTTGCGATCTTCTCTATCCTTACCGGTTGTAGAAAGTACAATTTCAGGTGTAAGCTGGGGCGGATCTAGGGGGATTCGGGGGTGTTCGGTGGAACCCCCTAAATTAGAGCAAATGAGACATTACAACACGTTGACTTGGCCTCAATATGCCGGAAATAAGCGGAAATCCCATATATTAAAATTTTCCCGGGGAGGGTGCCCCTGGACTCCCCTACAGGGGACAGCCTTAGACGGTCCCCATCTCGAAACCCCTTCTCTAAAAGCCTGTATCCGCCCCAGGTAAGTCTCCTCACTGTCCTCCGTTATCAGGAGAATTACGGCCAGCCAGTTGCCAGGACACTGAAATGAAGTTAATGATCGAGGAGTTTCTCTCCTGCGGCGCTCGCTCAGTAATTGGCGTCAAGCACGTTATGAAGTGTTACTTTCTAAACAAAACAAACACAAATATTTGTTTGGGATGGGAAATGCATCCATTGCCAGTTAGCGCTAATCGGTGTGATATGAACTGATAACAATTCACGAAAACGAGTAAAAACCAACCGTGCTGAAAACAAAGACCAAGTAAGACCTAAGAATGTTAAGCTTCATGTAGCAATAAAAATCTAAACGAAAGAAATACTAAGATCAACATGATTACGCTGTTTGTTTAAAGGGTTTTTTTTCCCGTAATATGCAAGACCTCCTTGATTTTTCAAGTCTGATTTTGAACGTTTTCGAGCCAATCAACGCTGGCCAATAACATCGAACTACCAAAGAACAGTTCACTGCAGACATTCTACTGACCTCCACTACCCTACCCCAACCTGCAG